GGTGTTTGAAATTACTTTGCAAGTCAGCTTTGATGTTGAACGTTATGACTTATTTATCTATAATAGTTGTCATTGTAATTAGTTGCAACAACTTACTAAAACCAGTATTCAAGTTACTTGATTTGCATAATGTAAGTAAGTGAATCAAAATCTTAAGGGGTTTTTGTTAAAAAAAATTATAAAAGTGGTTTAACACTCAAGTGTCGATAAATGTGGTGCTGTTACTATAACACATACAGAGGGTTCACTACATTACAGCCCATGTTACCACATTTAATCATGTTCAGTCTGACAGTCATGCAGCTTGGCAATAGCAATGCATCATAGTTTTGTAGCAAAAGGCTTCGTAATAAGGCTGTTGTGTCCAAAGCACACCTCTCCTTCCTGTGTGCTTTCCATAGCCCATTTGTACTTTAACAGTCTAATCATATAGAAATCTATAAGTGTCATATCAAGCAACTTGACCAGTATTTCTTTGTATGAATAGCATTTAAACCAGGTTTCATTTTCCTGATGCATGAGGTATGATTATTAACCTCACTTTATGATGGATATCCTTCTTAATGATGTTGCTTACATTCATCTGGAGCATGTGGACAGTTTCTGCCACTGACATTTGTGGATTCTAACCTGTTACAAAATACCACACATTGCTTACCATAATTGGGTTACAATTTTTTTCGGGGCACTTTAGGGATGTTTTTTTATGCCCTGGTTTAGTCTATATTTCTCTGTTTTCGAGGTCCATTAAGAACAAGGAGTCTCCTTTTGGAAATTCTAGACACATCTTTATGATCTCAGTTTATGAATTTTTTGCATTGGAAAGGGCTATTACATAAATGTCTCAAACGATTAACTTTTGGTACCATCACAATACTTGCCTTTCTACCACAACTATAGTGGCTGTTGTCGTGTGACATGCTGACTCGCATATTCCAAATCATTTTAATATAAGGTACTCAACCCTCTATAATCAAACCTCGTTTTACGTTAGCAACTTGTTTTATACTGCCTGTGGGACATTTTGAAGTTACCAAATGCATGGAACTTGTATGTAAATAACTCTTAACAAATTACTTTTGTTACTCTTGTACAAATTTTGCACTGAACATGAGGTGTACTATTTAACAAACATATGAAATGGTTGGTTTGAGGCATACAGTAAACAGTTCTCTACACATGGTCAAGCACTGTTGAAGGTTTTCTTTAACTTCATTATGCCGATAAATTGTTGTTTGCCAGCACTGATTAATCATTTTATTAGTTTGCCTCATACAGATTTGTTGTTCACTTCATGCATGTATAACACTTGTTTGATGTAATGTATAGGATAGTGTAATCCTATTCTAGTTAGTCTGTGATAAATTGTTGTTTGCCAGCACTGATTAATCATTTTATTAGTTTGCCTCATACAGATTTGTTGTTCACTTCATGCATGTATAACGCTTGTTTGATGTAATGTATAGGATAGTGTAATCCTATTCTAGTTAGTCTGTGATAAATTGTTGTTTGCCAGCTTCTTAATAACTGTTCTATAGCAGTATTTAAAAAAGTTTTCTGCAATAGGTTGATAAATCTGTGTTTTTAGAAATGGCATGTATCAAATAACAATAATTTTAAATGTTTCACACTAACTTGAGCCTAATTTTCAATACAGATAATATAATTAAGTTAGTTTTTGTTTTGATAATTAATATATAGGTACTTAATTTCGTTTATATATGCTTTATGTATTTCCCCATGTTTTGTTTATCATTTCCAGACTGGGACAGTTCGTTACTTTGTACTTAGAATGTATTATTTTCCAAAACAGCTAATGCATTAACTTCTTTAAAAAGATCAACAACACGTTAGATCCCTTTGTCTAGCTCTTTTGGTTTATTTAGGTGGAAACGACATGATCAACTGTATAAAAGCCCCCTGTAGTTTCTTAATTGCAGCAGACCCATGTATTTGATTGTCAGCATCCCGCTTGTTACAAATGTAACAGTGAAAAGCACATAGAACCAGTTTACAAGTGTGGTAGCTAGTTTATATGCTTAGAGTATTTGCAGCATTTCAAAACATTAGCTGCAGTTGCTTAACAACTAAGGTAGAAGCAGCATCTTACCTTTCATTACAGGTGGTTTTGATAAAACAACCACTCGGGGTCATCTCAAGTCCAGAAGTTACATTAAATGTACTATACTCAACGTCCGACATCTTTTACTAGTTTATGGAATACCTTTTCATTAGATAATATTTCACTTCATTTTCGTGTTTAACCACTGGTTGTTAGCTCACATTTTCTACAATGCCCAACCAGTAATGTTACGAGTGACTTCAAGTTATTGTCTTCTAAACTAGTTTTAATAATGTGCTCTTGACACTCGCCATCCCATTGTTATGTTCCACAGTATTGCTATTAAACTCTTAATAAAGACATTGCCCTGAAAGTTCTTGCTGCCTTTACTTTTGGTCATATTTCGAACTATTAATTTTGTTGATCTCATCTTTCAAGATTACCTACAGTGTCTGTTAATCTTTCTTCTTCCTATAACATGTATTTTCAGTTCCAAGTTCAGTGTTACTTAATGATCCATACTTGATGGTGATTCACAGACCCTCTCTCCATGTTGTCCTTTTGGTGTTATCAGCTTAGACACAGTCTTTTGTTAGGCATTTAGAAACTTGGTACAAGATTTGTAACATGGGTTTGAAATGCATCCCTCCAATAACAGTTATAGGTCCCACCTTAATGGTTTTTAAAAAACGAGACCCAAAACTTGAGCACTTTCAAATATTTCACTATTCTTCTTAAATCCCCCATTATCACATTTGTAATCTGCTTGCCCTGCCATCATTCAATTGTAAATTTCATAAAAAATAATAATAATGAAGCTGATGTTACATTGTTATCAGTGTTCAAGAATGTTGACTGTTTATATGGTTGTGCAAAATTGGTAATGTCTAATTCTAGGGATTGGATCTACAGTACTCTGCTGCCCTGAAGGACCATAAGTCCCGTATCGGCCATTGATTTTGTTCTGACTGTCCTTGGTTTTCTTGCTCCCAAATCTAATCTTCACTGTTTACTTTAACTTTTTTATTTCTTCGTGTCTTTTCAAATTATGCCTCCCAAGTTATTTTAAAACATGAGCAGAGTGAAAAAAAAAAAAAGATTTTCTGAACTCCCCTAGTTATATTTGACCCAAAACCTTTATTTGGGGTCAAATAATTTCAAACGGAAATTACTGCCATAGTTTTTGTTTGTTTGTTTGGTAGTGTTAATTTAATAGCTGAGGCATTTCTGACATATGCTGAATTTTTTTACTTGCCCTCTTAATCTTTGAAAAGTAAGACATAATTTGTTAAAATTCAACTATATGGAATAGGAGAGCCAATTGCACTCAGTGAGAACTTAATCAAGCACAGCACGTTGAAAATACTAAGTCAGGATGCACTTAATCAAAAGTAAAACAAAATATAAAGAATAATGCACAAACTTTACAAACACTGTGATAAGGTAAATAATTGTATTAATTGCAACTTTATGTTATCACACAAAGACTTAAAAGTGTTCTCTTACATTTTTTCTGTACCCTCTTGAAGGGTTAAAAAAAATGTAAATGTTGTTGTGTTTAACATTTAATAAATATTATCCAATTGTACAGTTAGAGTATGATTATGTAAGTTTTTTTGTTCAGGATATTCTTTACGCACGCGTCTATGTAAATGTGCAGTATATTTGACCTGTCATTGTCTTCTCTCTCTCATCATCTAACAGTGGAACAGTTGAAATCTTTCACTACTCAAGCTGAAAGAACTGCAGAAGCACAAGAATCTTCGAAGGTGGAAAAATTACCAGTTACAAGTTCTGTCCAACTTGCAAGGAAAAAGCTGGCTCAAGAGTCCAGACGAGGGAATAAGAGAAAAAGATCACACTCACGTACTGAAGAAAATTCTGTTTTGATGTGCAAGAAGAAGAAGCAAACAGAACCACTGGGATGCAAAAGATCAGTCATTGGAAATGTTGGTACATTGCAAGACACCTCACAAACTTTAAAAAAGAAAACCTGGGCCTTTAACGAAGAAACATTGGCCAACTGTGAAAGTTCTAAAGCACCTCTACCAAAATCTTTGAACTCTGACAATCACATTTCGGCACATTCTACAGAAACTAGTAACAATGGTTGTGTTATTGTAAAGTTCAAGAAATCAGAAATGTATTTTAATAACAGATTAAATAATATAGAGTCCACTACAGACAACAGTAATGTTGAAATAAATCATGCAAAATCTCTGTCTATTGGCAACAGTAAAGTAGACTGTACCAGAGCTATAGAAACTTCTGTTAGCCAAACAAACAAAACTAAGAATGAAGAGACTTCTGTTTGCCGAACAAATAAAACTAAGAATGAAAAGACTTCTGTTTGCCGAACAAATAAAACTAAGAAGAAAAATAACAAAGATAGATCTAAATTTATTGGTTCTGATAACAAATCTTCTGTTGAAAACTCCAACATAATTCAAACTAACATCGCCAACACAATTTTAAGCTTTAAGGTACCCAAAAAAAATAAACTGTTAGAAAGATCTTCCGTTTTAAGCTTGCAAAATGTTCCTTGTGGAACATTTAACCCAAGTTATTCAAGTGAAATGAAGATTAATCCATCTGTCAATATCAAATCCATAGAGCATATTCCAATCAGTTGTAAAAAGAATTTTTCAGCACTTATTAACCATGAAATGTCATCACTTGACATCTTAAACCAGTTAGAATTTAAAATCCGAGACTCGTCAACAGTTGGTCAAAAAGACTCCTGTATACTAGAAGTTTTCAGGAAAGAAAACAAGAAGACAGGACCTTCAGTAAAAGTAGGGTGTTACACTATTCCTCTCCACAGTAACTGTAAAGACAGATGTAAAGATAACAATACCAGCAAGAAAAAACGATTATTATCAGAAGAACAAGCTATAACATTGATGGTTCCTGAGAACAGAGATTGTCAGCTAAAAATGCCTCAAACTGCTCGGAAAAGCTTTCCAAGGACACGAGTATCATTTCCCATCAAGCTATCTCATCAGAAAGCGAAACCTAAAGAAACATTAACTTATGAAGACTTCATCAAACAAATCACTAGAGTTTCTTCATCTTCAGTTAAAGAAATATCTCGGGTTAAAACACCAAAGTCTGTGACAAAGTCCAGTTTTAAAAAAAAGGACACGTGCACAAAATCAAAAAGTTCTCAAATTGTAGATGTGAGCGTGGTTCGGAAACATGGGAGAAAATCGGTGAAGAAAAGCTCAAGTAACAAAAAGCATTATTCAAAACAGTTATCAATATTAGATTTTGTTGTCAAAAGTGCTTTGCCCATGTTTCTTAAACAGCAGAATAGTAAAGATGAACCACAGCCAAGCACTAGTTCTTACTGTGTAAGTTATATGGATGGTAACAATGACACCACAGAGGAGGTGAGAAGCCCGCCAGATGAAGAGAGCCATTCCAAAATGATAAGGTGTCTTCATTATCCCAAGGACATTCCTGATATAATTAAATCCCATGTTTCAGCAGGACCATCACATCAATGTTCAGTGCCTTATTAGAAATTACTTTTCAGCAACTATTAAGTATTTTATTAATATAAGTACTGAGGATTACTTCTGTACAAACACATCTTGTTAATGTGTTTTTTGAACTTTGTCACTAAATTTACCACGTGTAAATACTTTAAATAACAGTTCTTTGCTTTTATGTTTAAAAATTGCTAAAACAAAATTGAATTTATCATCCTTAGGTTCTTGAAATTAGACTTTCCCAGCAACAGTGAACTCTGAAAACGTTTCAAAAACTACAACACGTATTAATGATAAAGATGACAGTTGAACAAAACAGTTGTATTTATGGAAGGTTCATACTTTTAGAAATGTGTATTCCAAAACATTCAAATCTTCTGTAAATAAAAATGTTTCGTTAGCCGTCTTCATATTTATTGTTAACTTTGTTTTCCCCCATCACAAAATATTTTTAATGATAATTATTTTTAAATATTATACTTATCTTTCATAGGCAAAGGGGTGGAAAAATGTTGTTTCTTACAGAAATTCTTGGTTTGTTTTAATAAACTTAATATAAATTGTAGTATTTTCTAATGGTCTGTACAATTATGTTTATCAACAAAACTAAAGTTTCAAAAAGTTAAAAATTTTCCCTAATAATGTTTTTGCTTACTCACAATTAATTTTACAAAGTTTCCAATTACTTTAAGCATGTCTTCTGGTTAGCAGTTGTAAAACAAATGTAGACGGGTTTATTTTAATCTCCTACTACGTCAAGGTAATTTTAGCATCTGTAGAATGTGGAAAATACATTAAATATTTTCCTAGTATCTATTTTTCATATTGAAAAAAAATTAAATTTAGAGGTTATAAACAACGTATTTCATTGTGTTCTAACAGCAGCAAGTAATTATACGTATTCAATTTTTATATGATCATGAGAAATGTTCGTTGTAACTACAACTTAAGTCATGTTTTTTTTGTAACGCATGGTAACTGTTTGCCAAATCTTATTGTTTAATCTGTAAGAATTGTTTTAACAGCAGTTTGTAAGACCTCGTAGAAACTGATTTAGTTCTGATGACTGGTTTAATGGCTGTTACTGATTTTGAATAAAAAAAAAAGTGTACCGAAATGTTGGGTGATACCCTAAAAAAAACACAGGCTAAAATAACACCAGCAGTTCATTTTGCGTTTAAAGATACAAATTTATAAGAAAAACTGGGAACTAGTAAAGGAATTTCTTACGAAATAGGTAATAATTTTTACACTTGCCTTATTTAAATTTAGGTATCTTTTTTTTATCCTGAACTGTAAAAAAAAAAGAATAGTTTATTATTTGTGGATGACACTTAGCACATTTTAAAAAATAATATCTTTAAGTTAATTTTTATAGACAGATATCAACAATGTATCAGTATAGCCGATGTACTACTTCATGTGAATAGTCAAATCTTAATTGTTGGTGTAGCTCAGTTGTAAAATATATGCAATATTCTCTAGTTTTACAAATTTAAAAGTTTTTCTACATCACAACCCCAAGAAAACTGCTTCTTTGATTTTAACTTGATTTTTATATTGAAACCACTTTGTAACAAGATGAATGTGACATCAATCAACCCCTCCTCCTAGTTGTGTGGAATGAACGTGAGCATATTAAGTTACTTGCAACCGAGTGTATTTTATAAACAAAAACTGAAGTTTATTAGATGACAATGGAAGCATACCATTTAGAAATACACCATTCCTTTGACACTTGTGGAACGAATGCGAGTATATCAAATTATCTGCTACGATGTTATATTCCAGAAAGATTGAACATTTAGAAAGCCATCACCCCCTTAAGACCTGTTTTAGGATATCAACCAAAGAACTAAACATATTTTAAGATCAATTTTATTTGGCTAGCAGTCAGCTGCTGTGTTCATGTCGATGGTTTACGTCAAAGTAAAGTAACACTATAATGGTTATGGGAAAGT